AACGTATTGTTGAATTTGTATCCTTTTTTTCTTTTCAAAAAATTTAAAAAATAAAAATATTTTTATCTCCCATATTTTTTAAAGTGTTATTCTAGTGAGGGGAAAATTAAGAGAAAATATTCCTTTTTGAAAATTCAAATTATAGTGTTTGCCATCATTAAAAAGGGGGAGATTATTGTGGATCTACTTTCATGGTTTATGATTTTGATGATAGCAAACACTCTTATTTCTCTACGACTACCTTATCTACTGACATTTCAGGTCCACACGATCATACTATAACTTGGAACCAACTCAAGATTGGGTAGACTAGGTCTGAGTCAGTTTGTACCCTCTTTCCTTTCTTGAGTCTATTGTATTTGGTGTGGCTCCTGATGCTTTGTAACTTGGAAGATTTTTTACTGTTCCCTAGAGTTTACTATTTTTGGTAACATTGTCCGGGATGATTTTATATCATCCTGGACGATCAGTTCAAAAGCAGAAATCCTAATTAGGACATCCTCATTAAAGAAGCCGTCATTATGCAAAACACATCATCATAGATGATTTTGTATCGGCCATCATGATAGGCTAAAAACAAAAAGAATCTGCCACCAGATCTATTTAGGAATTACTTATTTTTGGACATCATTTAGGTGGATCGTCTAGGACTATAAAATATCATCCAGGATGATTCAGGAAAATTTTTCCAAAATTTCTCTGGAATTTAAGAAAAGCAATTATGACTTGATTGCAAGATCAAATTGTCCTAGACGATCGCAAAATCGTCTAGGCCGATACGTTAGACGATTGGACATCAGATAGCTATTTTTCAGGGTTATGTTCATGACGATATTCCATGATTTATTCTGATCATCCAGGATGATATATTATTATCCAGGAGGATATGAATAAATTTCTTCTGATCGACTCAAATTGTCCCGTCTGATTGGGCTTTTTTTACACTGATTGTACCGGATGATATTAGTATCATCCTAAATGATAATGTCAGCAACTTGCATTAATGAGCTCATTTTGAGATCTTCTATTTAAGCTATGACATGACACTTTGTAAATATCTTTGGTAGCCATTGCAGCTTCGTTCTTTTCGGGGAAACTTGAAGAGAGAGCTTGAAAGGGAGTGAGGAAAGGGTGGAGTTTGAGAGAGGGAGAAGATCCTGTAAGGGGGGACTCAAGGGAATATGGAAGGGGTTCCACACTGTTGCTCCGACAAGCTCGCACCTGAATACCGTCGGATTCAAGGCTTGTCTCGAGGGAAGTTCACCAAAGAAGAAGATCTATTTGGTGTCAAAGAACCCGGCGACTCCTCCGCACCGGGGAAGGTGGAAATGATTTTATAAGGGCTTCTCCGCCTAGCTGTGGGGGCTAAAGGAGAGACACTTTGTTTAGTGCAATACTTGGAGAGTGCCTCCAAGGAGTGGACGTAGGTCAAGGTTTGACTGAACCACTATAAATCCGGTGTGTTCTTTCTTATTATTGTTTCCGAATTATTTTCTTCCACACTTGATTTCTGTGATGATTTTGGTTTGAGTTTTATATTTGGTTTTAAAGTTATCCAATTCACCTCTCTTTTTTAGCCTTGGGCCAGTTCATAAGGGCCTAACATCCCTAACGAACTTTCAGTGTGGACACTACTCTTTTTTTGAAAAGGATAGTAGTTGACTTACTTATTATTTAAATATATGTTGATGATATCTTATTTGGATCTACAAATAAAAATTTTTATGATGATTTTTCTATGTGAGTAGTGAATTTGAGATAGGTTTGATGAGAGATTTGAATTATTTTATTAGTTTAGCATAAAGCAAAATGAGGAAGGAACTTTTCTTAGTGTTTCAACATATATTAAGAACATACTTCAGAAATTTAAAATGGATAATACTAAACAGTGACTATACTAATGAGTTTCTCTGTGCAATTAGATAAAGACTCTAAGGGAAAACTTATTTATCAAAAGAAATTTAGAGAAATAATTAGATTAATACTTTACTTAATTGCTATCAGATTAGATATCATGTTTAGTATTTGTTTGTGTGCTAGATTTCAATTTGACCTAAAGAAATCATATTTAATAGTAGTAAGAAGAATTTAGAGATATCTTTTGGGAACTTAAAACTTAGAGAATTTGGTATCTTAAGCACATCTCTTCTTTTGAAATTATTGAATATTCTGATTAAAATTTGTGTGTATCATCCGGGAAGTGGCAAGATAGGTTACCTTATGTTTTGGAAAGATGAAGTAAATTGTGTGTGTATCACCCAGATGGCATGATGTCCTTGCCTAGATCGAGGAAAACCCATAGCAAAGTTCATCGTTACCTCCTCCCACTTCCATTCCGGGATAGGCAACGACTGCAAAAGACCTCCTGATCACTGATGCTCTGCCTTCACCAACTGACAGGCCTCGCATCGAGCAACAAAATCTGCTACATCCTTTTTCATTCCAGGCCAATAGAACAAACTCTTCATGTCTCCGTACATCTTGCCACTTCCCGGATGAACAGTGTAGCCTGAAAGGTGAGATTCGTACAGAATCTCTTTCCTCAAATCTCCAAACACAGGAATCCACAGCCTATTCTTGTAGAAAATAACACCAGAATTAGAAACTCGAAGATCAGGCTTCATTCCATATTCAATCTGAGCAATCAACTTCAAATAGTCATAATCCGACTTCTGAGTTTCCTGAATCCTTTCTTCCAGAGAAGATTGGATATTCATCTGAGTCAAAACAAAAGAATCCGGACCAGTAGAGGAAATCACCTCTAACTGTAATCTTTCCATATCTCGTATCAGATATTCATCCGAAGTAAGCTGAACACCTGACATTCCAGAAGATTTCCTGCTCAACGTGTCTGCTACCACATTAGCCTTACCAGGCTGATACTGAATCGACAGGTCATAGTCCTTGATCAACTCAAGCCACCTTCTTTGCCTCAAATTCAGATCCTTCTGAGTGAATATGTACTTCAAACTCTTGTGATCCGTGAAAATCTCACATCTGAGCCATACAGATAGTGACGCCAAATCTTCAAAGCAAACACAACTGCAGCCAATTCCAAATCATGCGTCGGGTAATTCTTTTCATGTGGTTTCAACTGTCTCGAGGCATAAGCAATTACCCTACCATGCTGCATCAGAACATAGCCTAAACCTTTCAGATACTTATTCTTGATCGTAACCTTATTCAAACCTCTGTAGTCAACACACATACGGAGTGTTCTGTCCTTCTTCTTCACAAACAATACGGGTGCTCCCCAAGGGGAAACACTAGGGCGAACAATCCTCTATCCACCAACTCTTAGAGTTGAACTTTTAACTCAGAAAGTTCCTTAGGTGCCATCCTGTACGGAGCTTTCGATATCGGAGCTGTACCCGAAAAAACATCAATAGAGAACTCCACATCTAAATCCAGAGGTAAACCAACCAACTCCTCAGGAAATACATCAGCAAACTCTCGTACCACTGGGATATCAGAAATAGAACCAACATCCAGGTTCATATCCCGTACAGAAGCCAAAAATACTGGACAACCCTTCTTCTACATTCTTCTGACTTCCAATACAGAAATCAGACAGGATAGAACACCTCGTAATCCTTGGAATATGTATCTTTTTTCATCCATAAGTAAACTCACTTGCTTCTTCAAATAATCAATCTGAGCCTCATACAGACTCAACCAATCCATGCCCAAAATCACGTCGTAAGAAGAAATCAGCAATAAAATCAAACTCGATTTCCACTTTTTGCCAGCAATATCAATCTCACAAAAACAAAACTTCCGGGCTATCAAATTACTTTCAGCCGGCAAAATAACAGAAAGAGAAATCGGTAGCAAAACAGAATCCAGATGCAAAGCATCAAAACAACGCTCGGACAAAAATGAATGACTGGCTCCAGAATCAAACAAAACACGATAGGGTTGATCAGAAATATAAATCGTACCTGTCACCACATCTGGATCATCTCGAGCCTCCTGCTGACTCAGACTATACACTCATGGCTGAACTGGAACTGGAGCTGAAGCAACATAACTACTCGGTTCTCTCTGACTAACAGTAGGTGGTCTCCGTGGTGCAGAACTCGAACCACCACTTCTACCAGAAAATCCCTCAGTCACAGGGTGTGGAGGAACAGTCCTCGGTCTTCCTGCTGAATAGGCATGTCTAACAAAGCCCTCGGATCGGAACTCAGATCGTCGATCAAATCCAGCTTGTGGACACTCTGCAATCTGATGTCCTTGCTGACCACATTTAAAGTACTGACCAGTCGTCCGGAAGCACTGGCCAAAATGTCATCGTCCACAAGTTTAACACACAGGTGTCCCACTGACTGATCCCGAACTGGTTGTACCGGTAGCCGCAGTACCAGAAACTGTAGTGGATCCCGACTGTCCACTCCTCCTGGAATCTCCAGAAATAAATCTCCTCTTGCCAGAGGAACCACTGCTCAAAGTATCACTTCCAAATCTCTTCCTACTCGCAGTCCACCGCTGCTGAGTAGCCATCAAATCTTTATCTATCAGACGAGCTCTCTCCACAAGCTCAGAAAAATAAGAAATATGGAACGGCACTAGGGGTTGCCTCAAACTATCTCGTAGTCCCCTCAGAAATCTGTAGCACCTCTCAGCAGAAGTACTCACCAACTGTGGAGAATAACGGACTAAAGCAGTAAACTCTGCCTCATACTACATCACAGTTCTGCTCCCCTGAACAAGCCTCAGAAAAGTCTCCTGCATCTGCTGTCGTGCAGAAGGAGGTACAAACCACGATCGAAATTCTTCAGAAAATTCTTCCCAAGTTATTAAAGAATTTTGCTTCCCCTGAAATTTTGCCTCTTGCTGGCTTATCCACCAGTGTTCTGCTTCCCCATCCAACAGAAAAGCTGCCAACGGTACCTTCCTGTCCGACGGACACTGCATACCATCAAAAGTCTTTTCTAACCTCCTCAACCATTCTTCAGCTGCTCTGGGCTCAACAGTGCCCTCAAACCTCGGAGGTTTCAATCTCAGAAATAATTACAGATGTTTGTCCATATCTTCAGATCGGACAGTAGAGGCTCTACTCTGAGTCTCGCTCATCATCTGAGCAATCAATGTAGCAAACTGCAAAAGTGTGTCAGAACCAACCACTGGGGCTGTACTACCCACTGGAGCTGCCTGACTAGCACTCTGCCCATCTGTCATATCGGGGTCTGGCAGATCCATGATCACAGAAAACTAAGCACAAAACAAAAGAATAAAAGTCCAGACAAATCAGACCTACCCCAAATAGACTCACAGATCACTTCCTATAGCTCTGTCTTACAATCAAAATTCCAAAAATTTTGCTCTTATACCACTAAAGCTTGTCACGACCCAACCCGACCGGGATGGATCCCGCTCGCATCGCGTCACGACGGAGCCAACAAATCTAGGATTTAGCTTTGGAATTTTCTTTAAATCTTTCTTCCAAATGTAATACAGACAGAAAAACAAACACAGAGCTACTATAAATATCCAATTACAGCGCAGTTCATCTATATTCTCTTTCACCAAAATAATCATATACAGATACAGTGCATGGCTTATCGACAGAACAGAATAGATAAGCCATGACTGTACAAAAATCAAAAGTATAAAATACCTAATCACAGATCAAACTCTGGACAGCTAATCCACAACTTCCTTCCCTTTCCCAGAACCTAAAAACCACGTAGAAAGCAAGGGTGAGCTAACAGCTCAGCAAGACATCAATCACCAATCGAAATCATCAAAAACTCACATCAAAATATCCATACGATAATCATAGACCAAATACTTACTCAATCATAAAGCCACAACAAATATAGAAACTGAAGTCATATCAAATCAGCGTTCAGAACAGAAGCTTTCAAATCACAGAATAAACATAATCGTACGGCATAATCAGAATCGTACATATATCAGATGCTTCGTCAAACAGATCAAATAAATCACATAACAGATTTCAGATAGCAAACGTCATATTTCAGATAACATATCACATATCAAATTTCATATTCTCCAGACACTTATAAAATCTTGACGGATTCTGGCCCCTTATCTCTCCATTCCCCTGACACTTACAGAATCTCAACAGATTCTAGCCCCTTATAGCTCCTTTCCCTGACACTTACAGAATCTCGACTGATTCTGGCCCCTTATAGCTCCATTTTCATAGCACATACACATCAAATATTCAAATCATCTTGTTTCAGAAATTTCAGAAATCGTACGAAAATTCAGCGGCATAACGGCAGTATACGGAATTTACACAAAATTCATAGATTCAGAAATTTACCAAATTACCACAGAACATTCACAACAACATTGTAAGACTTTCATTATACTGATAAAATATTTTTCAACATCCTGATAATTTGCAGATCGCTTAAAACACCGAAGAATCCAAAATATCTGGTAAAAATCTTCCAGAAAATACTCGAAACGTGCACACTTAATATCTCAAAGACATATCAAAAGTTACGCGGTAAAACCTTAAGCAGTAGAAAATAACACACGAAATTGGCTAACATAAACAATTTCCGGAACAGAAAACACGTCAAAAATCTCGTTTCTAAAAATTCAGAAAGGCGGAATGCGCCTTACCTCGAGTCGGTCAACTTCTTTAACTACAGTAGCGAACGAAAATGGACCGGAGTCGCCCAAAAATCACTTTTCCTTCTTTTTCCTTCGTTTTTCTCTCTCCTGGACTTTTTCTCTCTCTTTAAAATATCTCATTTCTATATATATTCAGACTGATCGTCCTGGACGATCGCAACTTCGTCCCGGGACGATCCGGCTCTGGAGAAATTTCGTCCAGACGAGATGAATTATCGTCCCCGGCGACTTGTCCTCTGGAGAATTTTTGTCCAGACGATCCAAATTTCGTCCAGACGAACTGCTCAGTTTCCACAATTCCAACTCAACCTGTACCGATCGTCCCGGGACGATCCAACTTCGTCCCGGGACGATCCAACTTCGTCCCGGACGAACATGTAGCAAAAATGGTCTTTACACTACCTCTCTCTCTCTCTCTCTCTCTCTCTCTCTCTCTTCTTCTTCTTCTTCTTCTTCTTCCCCTTTCTTGTGCCTCGGGGTGAATTTTGGAAAAATGCAAAAGTATACTTTTGAAAATGAACAGTTCAAAAGACAATCAACTAAGCCGGTGTGAAAGCCCAAAAAGGTACGTTTGAGATTTAAATTATATATTTTTCAATTATTTTAGTCTTAATTATTAAATGTGCTAATAATACCTATTTTCTTCTTATTGTCTGCATAAACCACGAGGAATAGTACCGATGAAGTGAGCTAAAAGGAAATGTACCAAAGGCATCAGTCACTACCGTCCAATCAGGTGGGAGTGCTATGGATAAAAATATTAGATGTTGGCTCCGGTACACTGTAAGTATTCTAAAACTTATATAGCCTTAAGACCCAAAACCCCTAATGTGATTGTGCAAATTTCCAACCTTAGAGCCCTGTAAAAACTTTAGTTTTTTTTTTATTATGTATTTAAATTCAAAATTACTTGCGATTTATTTTTGTTATGTTATTTAGATATTTTTATTTTGTTATTTAGAACCCAAAATATATTTACATGTACGTGTATGTCTAAAGGGTTAGTAATAATATCAAATTCCGACCATTGTGCTCTGGTGCTCTCTGGCAATTCCTGGGCGATTTAGGGCTTCTGTTCATGAGCTCTGGTTTCGATCTCTTGGCATGCTCGTTTGGTGGTTTTTTCTTAGATTTTTCTCCTTGGTTTTTCCACGTTTCATTTGCGGCTTTCTTTTGAGGTTTTCTTCTACGTTTTTGGCTTTGAGAGATGACAAGTCGTCATCTAACCCGTCGGCATCTTCATTTTCTGAGGTTGTTCTAGGTCATTTAAGGAGGTTTTAGCTAGATCTTCTTCTTTTGTGCCTAAACTTCAATTTGTTCAAACCTTATTCAAGATTTTTCCAGTTTTAATGTTTGATGATGCTATGGTTTCTCAATTGGCTACTCCTTTTTCCCTAACATTGGTTGGAAAATTCTTCGTCATCATCCGAATCTTGATTTCATTCAAAAAAATTTTGTTTGCTTGAAGCTTACGGGATCCATTCACATTGGTTTGCTGGATCAATGACATATTGTGATTCAACTTATGAATGACCTTGATTATAGCCGCATTTTCTCAAGGAAATCATACTACATTCAAGCTTGTTAGATGTGTCTCATCAAATGGACGCCAAATTTTGATATTAAGGAGGAAACGCCTATTGCAACTGTGTGGATTTCTTTTCTAAACTTGAGACTTCATTTTTTTTTTTTAATTCGTAAATCTTATTTGGTCTTGCATCTATTTTTTGTAGACTGTTATAAACTGATCAAGCTATTGCCTTTGTTTCTTGTCCATAGGTGGCTCGTGTTCTTGTTGAACTTGATATTTCTAAGAAACACCCTAATGAAATATGCATATGGTCGGACTTGAATGGTTATTTCCAAAAAGATGAATTTGAAAACCTACCTATTTTCTGCTCTCATTATAAAATGCATAACATGGTGTTAATGAATGTTTCAGGTTGCATCCTCGTCTTTGTAAGGAAAATGTCTCTTCCAAACAACCTCAAGGAAATGCTATCATTATTGCTAACACAACAATAATCCAAAATAGTATCATGTAGAAAAAAATACAAACAAAATGCCCAAAAAAAAAAAAGAAATATCTGATTTTCGAAGAGAGAATGTAAGGAATGAAAAGAAAAGGTTTGACATGATCTGAAACAAAAACCGGTGGAGAAGCTGGACATAAAATGTTAAGAACCATGAACGGATCAATGTTGAAAAGAATTACTATAGGCCAGGGCAGATATCCTTGAATACCGGGAGCCTTATGCAGCACCTGCTCGGCCCGTAGAGCACCTGCTGAATAAAATGCAGCAGAAGCAGAATAAAATGCTTCAGATGGGACGTATTTATCGCCATATAGGCTGGATCCAACGGCTGAGCCCTGTTTGCCACTCTGAGAGACAAGAGAGTCGGATTGAAAAATCAACTAAATCATATAAAACATGAGCAAATAGAACTACTCAAATGAATACTTCAACTTGGAAGATCAAATGAAGTTATATGGATTTTTTTTCTTCTTTTTTAGGGTGTGTACAAGAAAAAAAATATGCATAATTTCATATGATTGAAAATCAAACGAAAGATTACGTCTGAACTCTACACATTGTAATCTCTCCAATTTCACACGAGCTGGAAACTTGGTCAAAAAAAAGTTTTTACACTGAAACACGTGGTTAATAATAAGCCAAGTCAATCTACATTGAGTCAAAGTTTAATAGATAAAAAAAAACTGTCAATCCATAATCTCATTTATCCAGTTATATTAGTATAAAAAATATGCATGATATAGGCACCAAGATAAATTTAAGAGGGATATGATGGGCACGTATTCCTAGAATTTTAATATCTTCACATATAATAGATATATTAATAAATTTTTCCTATTTAACGTTTATAATGATAAATTTTAAATTTATGCTTCAATTAGGGGTGTCAATATTTGATACGACACGAAAATCCGACCCGGACCCGACCCGAAAAATCCGGGTTGGACCCGACCCGTTTGAAAAACGGGTCGGGTTCGGGTTCGCAAATTCGACCCGTTTGAAAAAACGGGTCGGGTTCGGGTTGACCGGCGGGTTTCCGGGTCAACCCGAAAATCCGTTTATATTTGAATTTTCCCGCGCCTGCCCGTTGCCCGCGACGTTGCCCCGCTGCCCGCGAAGCTGACCCCGCTGCCCGTGCCTGCCAGCCTCAGCGCAACGCGCGCGCACCCCATCAAATGTTTCTCAAACGAAAGAAAACTTCTAACTTCTTATATATTAATTGTTTAAAATTTAATATTTAATAATTTAAATTTAATATATGTTAAATGTTTTTTATTTTAATTAAATAAGAGAATTCATATAACATTTTAGCAACATTTTATATTAGCATTTTAGTAAAATGTTTATTATATATAATCAAAATATAATTAAAATTTTATAATGAATAAAATTATTAAAAATTGTATATTTAATTTAATAATATTTCATATAAACATATAATAATATAACTTTAAAACTATTGGAGCGAGTTATGAAGTGTAGGTTGCGTCGTGATACTAATGCTTCTCAAAATCAATTTGAATTCATGCCGGGTAGGTCTACTATGGAAGCCATACATATATTGAGAGGTTTGATGGGGAAATATAGAGAGAATAAGGATGATCTACATATGATATTTATTGATTTAGAGAAAGCATATGATAAAATTTCTAGAGATGTGCTATGGAGAGTTCTTGAAAAGAATGGAGTTAATAATGCTTATATTCAAATCATTAAAGATATGTATGAAGGAGTTATTATTGTGTTCAAACACAATGTGGTTTGACCAAGTATTTTCCTATTTGCATATGATAAAATTTCAAGAGATGTGCTATGGAGAGTTCTTGAAAAGAATGGAGTTAATAATGCTTATATTCAAATCATTAAAGATATGTATGAAGGAGTTATTATTGTGTTCAAACACAATGTGGTTTGACCAAGTATTTTCCTATTTCGATTGGATTACATCAAGGATCAGCCTTAAGTCCATATCTTTTTGTTTTAGTCATGAATGTTCTCACTAAACATTTGCTAGAGGATGTGTCTTAGCAGGGGCGGATCCAGCTTCCTTTTTTTTTCCCAAAACTTTAATTAATTAGACAAGAAAAATAATAACAAAAATAAAATAATAATAATAATAATATAAATTCAAAAAAAAATCATTACTGCAGAGTTTTTAGATGTTCTATTTTTCTAAAAGAAAATAAATTCATTGTAAAGATTGGTTATACTTGTTTGCCCCCTTATTATGCTTAATGCAAGGAAACTTATTTTTAGATACTAGATAAGTGTTTTTAACTATGAAGAGAGATCATTCACTACATGTTTTAGATATGCTTGCTAACTTTATTGCTACAGAACATTGCTATTAAAAAAAACAATCATTTCTATTGATATGTCATCAAAAAATTATCTTGATCGGGCACGAATCTCAAGGAAAAAATTATGTTGGAAACTTCAAAAATTAAATCCAATATCCCTGAACTCCGATTTCAGCAAACTTATAAACTGAGCGTTTTGTAAATACGAACCCAACGACACCAAATTCAACTCAATCCGAGCCCGAATTAGTCCAAATCAAGAATCCAAAGCGTTGTTGGAATGTTCAAACAACAATTTGGATTACTAAACGGTTTCCAAACATAACGTGTTTATAGTTGAATCGAGCAGCTTGATGGGATGAATCTAGGGGTGTAAGTGAGCCGAGCCGGCTCGCGAGCCGAGCTTATCGAGCCACAAGCTCGAGCTCGAGCTCAAATTTGAGCTCGTTTGTCAAACGAGCTCGAGTTCGAGCTTGACGTGACTAGACTCGTGAGCTCACGAGCTGGCTCGAAACTATAATATTTAGGGTATTTTAAAGAAATTAATGGCAGTCGGCTTATAATATGAGATTCAAACTTTGCATTTAAAGTTAAAATGTTGCTTTTAATGTTAATTTATATAAATTCATTGCCTCATTTCAAGTGAAAGCTACTTTTTATTAAATGCAAAGTGTCCTTTGCATCTTGTCATTATGACAGCTTTTTAATATGGCAGCCTTTTCCCAAAACAAAAAAAAAAAGAAGATAATAGTCATTCATAGGCGGGAAAAAAATTCATTTGGATGAATGCAAGGCGGAAAATCAAGAAGTGGAGGAAAAATTAAAAAATCGGATGGATGAGAAATCGAGAGGCTCGTGAGCCGGCTCCAGCTCATTTATAGTTTGACGAGCTCGAGGTCGAGCTCGTTTTCCGAGTAACGAGTTGAGCTCGATAATGCTAAAACTCGACTCGACTCGTTTACTCCCCTAGTTGAATCCAATGATCCCAAGATCTTTGCATTCCGACATCATTAAGACCTTTAAATGTCTGACGAACGATACACGAACAAGGGATTCAATATCAACCGTCCATCCAACCACTGTACATTTACCCCTAATCTCTCACCTATTTACGGGCCATGCCACTCCAGAAAATCTATAAAAAAACCTCTCATTTCTCTTGAGAGTGGATCTAAAGAAGAAGAAGGATAAGAGAAGAGAAGAAGGATAGGAGGGAAGAAACTCCTCCTCGACCACCGCCAGAATTCTACCTGACTTCCACGGGACGCCAGAATTTTGTCCGACTTCCACGGGATGTTGAAATTCTACTCGACTTCCAAGTGACACCAGAATTTCGTCCGACCTCCATGTGACGCCAGAGTTTTACCCGAATACTATTTAACGCCAAAGTTATCCTCGGCTGCCAACTGACGTCGGACTTCTACCCGACACCGGACCTCTGCTCGACACCAAGTTTCTACCCGACGCCTGACTTCTACCGGTTGTCAAATTTTCGTCAAACATCTATCTGATGTTGGGTTTCTGTCCATTGCTAGACTTCTACCTGAAACAGTCCTCTTGACTTACGTCGCCCACCGACTACAGTCCTTCCGACCTACGTCGCCTGCCAAATACGGTCCTCCTGACTAACATCGCCCACCGACTAAAGTTCTTCTGACCTCCATTACCCACCGATTACGATCCTTCCAACTTACATCGCACGCCGACTAGTCCTTCTGACCTCCGTCGCCCGCCTACTACGATCTTTCTGACTTACGTCGCCCACCGACTATAGTCCTTCCGGCCTTCATCGCCCACAGACTATTGGCCTTCTGACTTACGTCTCCCATCGACTACAGTCCTTCCGACCTTAGTAGCACGCTAACTACGTTCCTCCTGACTTACGTCGTCCACTGACTATAGTCCTTCTGACCCACATCTCCTGACAACATTAATCTTAGTGTCTCCTATAAATGCAACACACTCTCTCTTATTTGATTGCGTGTTGAATTTTCATACAACATTAAGGCGTTAAACTTTCTATTTTGCAACCGCCGCGAATACTCCAAGACGCAATAGTTTAGCACCATATGTAGGAACGTGGTTCCCGACTGGGGGGGCAACTATTGCTCCAATCTCAAAAGATCGCTCTTATTAACTTTATGACATCATTCATTGTTGGATCAATATCATAAGAATTAGATGTGGACTGGGGGGCAACTATGACTCCAACTGGGGTAAAAAAGATCCTCCAATGCTTTCATCATCAAGATGATATATAAGGAAACTCCCGGCAAAAGCAAGGATGCTTCCAATTAATTACAAGCTTTATACAATCCATATTTGAACTTCTACTCCTTGGAAAAGATGTTAATCATAACCTTAAAAAGGCAACAACAATCTAAAAATGGTTCATTCTTCATCTTTGATTCAAGATACACATGGTGTTCGCCCCCTCCCAATCAAGGCAAAATTGACTCTAGGGGGATTCAAATCGATCTCTTCCACATAGGTTAACGTTGTCGAGCAAAGGCTTTGACATACAACCTCGGATAGGTCTCACATGCTTGGAGAATTCTCTCAACCTCTTCCATACATGTTAACGTCGCCGAGCAAAGGCTCCGACATACAACCTCAGATAGGTCTCACATCCTTGGTGGATTATCTTGACCTCTTCCATACAGGTTAACGTCGTCGAGCAAGGGCTCTGATATATAACCTTGGATAAGTCTTATATCCTTGGTGGATTTTTCAGGCATATTTCACACAAGTTAACGACATCGAGCAAAGGCTCTGATATATAACCTCGGATAGGTCATACGTCCTTAATGGATTCTCCGACCTCTTTCACACAGGTTAACGTCATCGAGCAGTGCTCTGATATATAACCTCGGATATGTCTCACATCCTTGGTGGATTCTTCATATCTCTTCTATATAGGTTAACATAATCAAGAAAAGGCTCTGACATACAATCTCATATAGGTCTTACATCTTTGGTGGATTTTTTCGACCTCTTTCATATAGGTTAACATCATCGAGTAGGGCTATGAAAAAGGATCTCGAATAGGTCTCACATCCTTGGTGGATTCTCTCGACCTCTTCCACATAGGTTAACGTCATCGAGCATGGCTCTAACATACAACCTCGGATAGGTCTCACATCATTGGTGTATTCTCTCGACCTCTTACATACAGGTTAACGTCATCGAGCAAAGCTTTGACATACAACTTCGAATAGATCTCAGATCCTTAATGGATTCTCTCGACCTTTTTCACGTAGGTTAATATCATCGAGCAAAGGCTCTGATATTCAACCTCAGATAAGGTCCTACAACCTTGGTGGATTCTCTTGATATCATCTGTATAGGTTAACGCCATCGAGCGAGGCTCTGACATACAATCTCGAATAGGTTATATATTCTTGATAGATTCTCTCGACATCTTCTACAAAGATTATTAGCAGGCTAAAAAGCCTTTAAAAAAATACATTATACAATATATCAAAGTATGCCTCAAAGATGCAATCACAATTCAACTTTCTCCAAACATGTTCTCAATATTATTGGTGTTACATTGCAAAAGATTGTACATCAAGTTCATTTTTACTAGAATCTGAAAGTAAAACATGCATCCGCATCATATGTACAAGTTACAATCATCAAACAACTTGTTCTTCAAAGAAAGATTATAATTTGATCTTTATTAGGCCTCAACTCATTTGATACTATAAGTGTGTCATCATACTACTAAAATAGCACACTACTTTGGCTCCTTGAATCAGGGATATCTGATGTCGGCAAACTTCCGTATGAATGCTTATTATCTTTGTAAAATACCACTAGACACCTATAATTATCGGATATTCATCTGATATTTATCGGTGGTTCTTTACTTCAGCCATCATTGGATTATCGCTCGACTGCTACTTGCAACGCACCTTCGAACACTCTTCTTCAGCTCTCCACTCAGTCGTTGACTGCCAACAAACTTCTACTCGACCGTTGAATGCCGATGAACTTCTTCTCAAACAACATCAAAATTTTGCCCGTCTACTCATCACTTCTAGTTCTCGTCTAAAATACTATTATCGCCGGATCTTCTCAAATCACCATTGCATATAAGCAGCAATTGATCTTATTATGTTAAGGGTTATCTATTAAAAAGATAGCCTCTCATTGTGACTTCGTTTACATAATAAAGGGGCACTAAAGCTCAATAGGGAAATGCCTCCTATCTCCGATAGTGGAATTCCTTCAGTGTAAGAGAAAGAATACAAGAGAAGAACAAGAAGGAAAATATCTTCTTCGACACAAGAGAGGGGCACTGAAGCTTGATAGGGGAATGTCGCCTATCACAGATAGTAGAATGCCTCCAATATAAGAAGAAGAATATCATAGAAGAAAAGAAAAGGCTGCAAAAAATTTTAACTTCTACACATGAAGAGGGGTCCTGAATTTTAATAGGGGATGACACTTACAATGAAAAGGGGAATACATCAACTGTAAGAAAGTTAGAATGAGGGAATAGAAAGAAAATGAAGGACTTTGAAAATTCCAACCTCTGCACGAAGAGGGGTACTAATTTTCGTAGGGAAAGTCGCCTACAAAAAAAAGTGGAATGCCTCCCCTTTTAGAAATTTAGAACGCCGGAGGAGAAAGGAAAGAAAAGGTTACAAAAATTTTAACTTTTGTACAAGAGAAGGGGTGCTGATTTAAGTAGAGAAAGTCACCTACGAAAAATAGTGGAATGCCTCCACTGTAAGAAAGCTAGAAGGAGAAAATGAAGAGAAAATTTTAACTTCTGTATAAGAGGAGGGGCTTCAATTTAAGTAGGGAAAAGTCACCTACATAAAAAAGTGGAATACCTCAACTGTAAGAAAGTTAGATGGAGAAAAAAAGGTGCAAATTTCCCCCTAGCCCTGGGGGATATTTATAGCCTTTTTTTGGAAGAAAAAAAATATTACAAAATTTTTTGAAATTTTTTCAATTTTTCTAAATTTTTCAGAATTTTCTAAAAGTTTTAAGAAATTTTTGGGCTTTTTTTTGAATTTTTTTGGGTTAAAAAATTTCATGTGGGCCCCACAAAAATCAATAAAAAAACCAACTACTTGGAATCGCTCATGCACCAAAAGGCGCACCTGTTCATGAGAGGTGCGCGGGCCGCTCTACCGGTGTCGGCGCCCGGCCGGTTCGGTCGCCTACGCTAGTCCGGACCCGATTTTCGGCCTGGATGGTCCAAATTCAATTTTTTTGGGTCCCGAACACGTTTTTCGACGTTCTGGACTCAATTTTGACACTTTTGAATCTCAACGGGGCACCTATGATCAAGTTTGAGCAAGATTTTTAATTTTTGGAATGTAATTTTTTGTGATTCAACCAATGTGAAAGGTCGATACATATACTTTCAGACTCCTTGAGCTTTAACGTTCGAAAATAGGGAGCAACTGATATGCCATCAATAAATTATCTTGATCAGGCACGAATCTCATGGCAAAAATCAAGTTGGAAACTTCAAAAATTAAATCTGGGATCACCTGGACTCCAATTTCAACAAACGTATAGTCAAACTGAGTGTCTTGGAAATATGAATCCAACGTCACCAAATTTGACTCAATCTGAACCCAAATGAGTCCAAATTAAGGACCCAAAGGATTGTTGGAAGGTTCCAACCACAATTTGGATTACCAAATAGTTTCCAAACATGGAATGCTTATAGTCGAATCGAGTGGCTCGATGGGACAAATCAAACGAGCCCAAGATCTTTGAATTTTGACATCATTAAGACCTTCAAATGTCTGACGAATGATACTAAATCAAGGGATTAAATTTTGACCGTCCATACAACTACTGCACATTTACCCCCGATCTCTCGCCTACTTACCGGCCATGCCACTCCATAACATCTATAAATAGACCCCTCATTTTTCTTGAGAGGGGATCAAAAGAAGAAGATGGAGAAGGGAAGAGAAGAAGGATAGGAGGGAAGAAACTCCTCCTCGACCACCGCCGGAATTCTACCCGAGTTCCAGGGAACGCCAGAATTCTGTCCAACTTCCACGGGAAGCTAGAATTCTGCCCGACTTCTAAGTGATGCCAGAATTTCGTCTAACATCCAAGTGATACTAGAGTTCTACTCGAATACTATCTAACGCCAGAGTTCTCCTCGGCTACCAACTGACGTCGAACTTCTACCCGACACCGAACCTCTGCTCGTCACCAATTTTCTACCCAACACCGGACTTCTTCTGGTTGTCAGATTTTCGTCATATATTTATCTGATGGTGGGTTTCTGTCCATTGCTGGACTTCTACCTGAAACGGTCCTCCTGACTTCCGATGCCCACCAACTACAATCCTTCCGATCTCCATCGCCCGTCGACTAGAGTCTTCCTGACCTATGTCGCCTACCGACTATAGTCCTTCAAATCTCTGTTGCCCACCAACTACGGTCCTTCTGAATTATGTCGCCCGCTGACTACAGTCTTTCCGATCTCCGTTGCCCGCCGACAACTATCCTTCTGACTTACGTCGCCCACCGACTATAGTCCTTCTGACTTTTGTCGCCCACAGCTACGATCCTTCAGACTTACGTCGTCCACCGACTACAGTCCTACCGACCTCCGTCGTCCGCTAACTACGATCCTCCTAACTTACGTCGCCTACCCACTATAGTCCTTCCAACCTCC